CCTTCAGAAGGACCAAAAATTTATGCCGCTGGTATGCCCCATCCATTCCAGCAGACTTTTGGGTGTGTGCATAGGCATCTCCGAGTGCATAAATTTTGGCGGAGGGGCGCGTGCCAGCTGGAATTTAATTAATTTACAATTTAACTTACACGAGAGAAGAGAGCTTAACCGTGGAATGCATCGCTAATCAAGTCGAAAATTGCAGATGTGAGCGGAGCGTGAGTGAAGAAGCAGAGTTTTTGTTTGGATACCGCCAAAATTTAGCGTTATATTGCCTTACAAGACTTGATTAATTGAATTTGGAAGTTTTTGAAAAGCTTTATAATTTATGCTTTCTTTATTAGAATTATATATTATATATTTTATTATATTAAATAATAATATTTACTTTCAATTTAACAAATTTTTTCTTTTATTAATAAAAGTAATGTTTAAATTTTATTTTACAATTTAATTACAAGCTCTTGACTTTTATTTCATGGATTCTGTTAGACGTTAAATTTGAAATTATTCTTAACATTTTATATTTACTGGCACTCGCAATAAGTAAAAGAAGAATGAATCAAAAATAAAAATCCATATTCACTCTTGACTTTTAGGGTTTAGGGACTTAAATTGGAAAATAATGTGTAAATGTCATGAAAATGAAATATTAATATAAAAAACTTAAGCATTATAAGTAGCAGATGAATGTTTTTGCATATAATTTAACATAATTATATAAAATTGAGAACTATATAGTGAAAAAAAATTGTAAATGGCATAAAAAGGTGAAATACTCATTGACATCAACAAATATCTTTCCTCAACTACAAACTCCTTTTTCAGAAGTTTGGCCATACATTTTAAAATACGAATTCCAATTTCGTGGAAGAGATAAACGAGATTTAAGATTTAATTAAAACGCGGCTTGTTGTGGTGCTGGGAAAAGTGCATAAAACAAAACGGGCTGTCTGTCACAGTGGCAGCCGAGCGCACTGCGGCGAAACAAAATGAATGCAAATAGGCCGAACAATTGCTCTTGAAGCTCAATTGCATCGTCGCGTGCGGAAATAATTGAATCAAGTGCGAGAGAGCACTCGAAGAAGACGCTCAACAACTGGAGAGCCAAACAAGCGACTAACTAGCCGAGCGAAATCGGGGGTGCCATCCGCCCGGCCGGTCTCTGCAACCCCCGAGACGTAATGTGTAATTGCGCTGCAGGGGTGCAGTGGCGGCGCCCTTGCTCGCGCCACCGCCACGCGCACGCGCCGCACCCGTTCAGAATGGGCCCTTCATTCAGCAGATCGATAATATTGTGTATTTCCACCCCAGCGCAGTGCCATGGCTGCTGCGCCCCTGCCTAAAAAGCAGCAGCAGAGAGAGAAGCTCGAAACATACCTGCCTTCTTGAGTTGTCGTAATGTCACTTTAAGTAATTAATGAACTCGTCGAGCGACCCTTCCGTCAAACCTTGCAGCAGGAAGCTCCGTAATTTATATTTCAACGTGTAAAACTTAGCACGCGCCAAAAGTTGTAAAGCGCCGACTTTTACGGCGCGATTTCTCGAAATTAAAAGTTTTCCTTGGCTGTAATTGCCGGATTAAACGCGTGTACTACTTTCCCTCTCTTTCCCAGACGTAAATCCTGCTTCCTTCGCCACTTTAGGAAACAGCTAGAGGTTTGGTCCGATTTGCTATGTGTGTAGTATGCAACCCGCTCAACGCTGAAAATTTAATCTGAATTTTTAAAGCTGAAAGAACAGCATTCACAAGCAAATTAATGTAATCTTTACTAAATAATTGAAATAAAATAAAATGAATTTTAATTTCACTGAATTTTTTGAATGTGTAATCTTACCTAAAATTCTGCCCAACCTAATTTTTTTTTTTTTTTTTAACATAAGTTATGTTTTAGAGAGAAGAGTTTTTCTGCATGCCTCTCTGTTATAAAGAAATAAGTTTAAAAATTAAAAATAAAATTCATTTTTCCATGTATGTAGATTAAGTTTTTTTCCCTTTTTAAACAATTCTCTCGCGATTTGCAGTTTGCTTTTATTTGTCAACTTCCCTCTCTGCCGGTATGATTTGCATTTAAATTCAAGTCTAAGGTTTTTTTTTTAAGTATAAAATGCGCTGCACGTTCTATGCGCCACGGGTTATTAAGCTGCATAATATGCGCGGACGAGGCGAGTATTAAAATCAATTGTTGGGAAATGTTTTTATTAACTCTGCTGGAGAGGGAGGGAGAGCCAGACGTCTCTGATTTTGGAAATTATATGCCGTCGCTTCCCTGTTCCGTCGTATTTTTTATGCAAATCGGCTTTTTGAAATTCAAATGCTCAAACGGGCTCATTTGCAGTAGAAGTTAACTGGCGTTTTAGTCAAATGACAAACGCGATTGCTTCATAATTGCGAGTGACAAAAGACTCTTCCACCCTAATCTTTCTTTCGTTTTGAAATAAACACACAGCGGAAGCAAATTAAGGCATAAAAGTATAATTACGGTATAAAAATAAAAATCATTAAAGCCACTTTTTATATACATATATTACGCTTATCAGTTTTATCTGCGCAAATTCAGATTTACAAAATGATTCCGAATTTTAATTCATTTTTAAATTTAACTTTCATTTTAAATTTTATTTTTAATCCCTAATTAAATAATTTATTAATATTTATTTACTTTTCTGTGTAGATGTTGGCGCCAATGTGAACATTCGTAACAGATAAAATAGGGCTGACATATCTACTCGTCTCATTCAATTCCACCCAGATTTGGGCGCCAAATCTGGTCACAGATCGGCCGACGAGCGGTTGGTTTTGCCAATTCTGGCTTCCGAGTCGACTGGACGGGGCGAACGAATTCTGATTTGGGCTCGTGTCTGTGGTAATGTTGGCCTTATACACAGCAGCAATAATGGTGTAGGACCAAAATCAATAATAGTGTAATGCTATGTAGGGCTCGTTTCATTCCACCGCCGCCGCCGCCACTTAGATTTAGGTCAAGCCATTGTATGCGAGCTCATACGGCGGCACTACTTTGCTGGGGCGGCTGACGAAGCGACCGAACCACCACCATTGGCCCGCAGACGGACACCATTCTTTTTCCTTTTCTTTGTACTGGTGCACTCGTGCGTGAGGCCAATTCATTTCCATAAATAGGTGACAGGGTTTGACACGATTTTGGATCAAAAGCAGACAAAACGCGGTCGGCAGGTGTGCGAATTTGAGTGTTAGCCAAAGTTATACACATTGCTTGTTTGTACAAAATTTATGAAGACAAAAACTGTTTGTCAATATAAAAGCGAAATCCTGTAAACAAAAAACCTCTCTCTGCATAGAGATAAATGTTATAATAATTTGCTTTCGATCCCAAGCTTAAAGGAATAGCTGTATCCAAACGTATATAATTATGTAAAGTTAAATTAAATAAGGGCATAATTAAAAATGTGAAGTTTTTAGAAGAATTAAAACGTGTTTCATCACCCTTATTTTTAAATTGAAAGTTAAATTACATTTAAATATTTTTTGTGTGTGTGATCAGTTAGTAATTAAAAAGAGTTCCAACTCTAACCCGAATGAAAAAAAAACTAACCAATTTAACCTCAAATTTTTCAGCAAATTTATTTTTTCAGTTTTTGCATTTATTCTTTAACTAATTAATAAAATCATAATAAAATATGTTTTATTGAAATTTCGGTGCACAAAGTCAGTTCATTCGTTATTTCCATTTCAAGCGCGATCGAAGTCAAGATACCGTCATGGGTGGGCGTGTATATTGAAGGAGCACCAAGATGCTGACGTCAGAGCCAGAAAGCAACCCCCGCATGCACACTTGAGCATTCGACTCTTGAAAAATGCGGCGAGAGGGTGGAATCACGCAAGCATTAACCCATCACGACGCAAAAAGACCAAGGGTTGCCCCGGCCGACAATGAGCGCACAAAGGACGCGCAGGTTTCACGAGAAACAGCCCACTAAGTGCATGACGGGTGCTGTCTCGCGCACGACCTGAAATTGGGCGCCCAGACGGGCGTTTTGCTCGATGAATTTCTATTGAGATCAAAGTAGCGTGCGGCTGTGAATGGTCCTTTCCGAGCAGAAAATGAGCGAGCCAAATGCGGGCATTGTTTTGTCTGTCCGGCTGAATGCAGAGGTCTATGAGGAATTTGTGAACTCGGCTGCAAAATGAGCTCATAATCAGCTAATACTCTATGAGTGCTCCAATGTTAATTGTTTTTACTATGCAATTATCTTCAAATTTAAGATCCTAAAGAAATTTTTTCTTCATAAAAATTTAATTGTACCTTGTTATGCAAATTATTGTTTTAGTTAAATTTAATGAAATTTTCAATAGGTTTTTGATTCTGTTAAAGAGGAGTTTCAGATTTTTAGCAAAAGGGTTTTTTTCTAAAATTTAGTCCAATATCTTGAATTATTAAAACAGAATCCATTTTTTTTTTAGCAAATGGCCGATTTTACGTCACAAATGGCATTTATTAAAACGCCATCACAAGGCCGGATTTATTTTTGGACTGACGAGTGTCAATTATTGAGCAAAACTCGCGACAATGAGAACGCGGGGGGCAACGGAACTGCCATCAGATGTCACCGTAATTAGGTGTGTCGCATCTGCCATTTTTCTCATCGTCTAGCACGCGTCGGAACGAACAAGCAACCACTGGCGCCCGCGGCCAATCAATTTTAAATTTGCATAAACAACATAAACAAGCAGCGTATGTATGAATATCAAATTGCGTCTCTATCCCCACTCTGACAGAGACACGGGTGAGCGAAATTACATTATTATACGCCCTGTGTCGTGTATTCGTGCAGGTTTCAACTCTGGTATTTGCACAAAAATTTCGCCAACGGTTTTGAGCTTCCAATTTTACAGGCTAAATTGAATTTTAATGTACTCTATATGCAGCCACTTTCACTGAAATTAGGCTTAGAATTTACAAATATTTTGCCTTTAAAAAAATATTTTTCTAGAATTATATAATTAATATTATTCTTACCTTGACCACGCCCTGCGTCCTGCCTCTACAGCCTCAAAAAACCTAAAACAGTAAAAATGATGATTAAATTAAATTATTATGTCACAAATTAAGTCTATAAATAAAAACGCGGAAAGGTTTGCCGGCTCTCATTGACATCAATTAAAACATAAATTTTTTTATGACCAGCTTGAACCATGTTGAAAATTTTTAAAGGATAAGTGACCCCAAAGGGCAACCTGCTGTCTTCTGGTACTTTAGAATCGTACAAAAAAAATTATAATTATAAAAAAAATAACATTTTAATCTCATTCTATTTAAAAAATTAAATATTTTTGAGATCAACAACACAATTTTGAATACATATTTCAAATTTCACTGGAGTAGTAGTTTCAGAACGATATTTAATGAGAGAGGAGCCAAAGTTCAGGCGCTCTCTGCAACAATGCAGAAGCAGAGAGCAAATATTTGCATAAGAATTGCATAAATAATGCACAATCTGCAATTCACGCCGGCATTATGCATAATTGCGGCAAGCTCGCGGAACAGGCCGTCGAATAAATTATCTAAGTGCTTGTCGAAAAGTTTGTACGCACAAGTCGTGTAAAATATGTATCGCACACAAGACGACACTCGAGAGAAGTTAGAAACATAAGAGAGAGGGCTTGCAACATTTTGAGTGGCCCTTTCGCTCAAAAAGTTTTTCGCCTGCCGTCTTTTAACTTCTGCAAGCTTTAATACCAAGTGAAGAAAAAACTGGCCAAGAGCAAGACGTCAAAATATTATTTTTCTCTGACCAGATTGTGAGTGACGCAAACGGAGTTGGTTTACTATTTCCATAATATCTTGAGAGGATTCCGGAGTAGAAAAACAAGGGCTTTGGAGAAAACTTCATTTCCCGGCTCCCCAATTTGGTTCGCAATCGGCCATCATTTTCCGCGCCCGCAGGCTTTCGCGTGTGTATACGCGCCGAGGGGGTGCAGCGCCGTAAGAAAAACACCCTCATGGGAGATATTAATCCAAGACCTAGTCCACCGACCGACCGCGTGCAGCACATAAATGAAAAACAGCATCAGAGCAATGAAAGCGAGCGGCCCGAGTTGAGTGGGTAAGGAAGTAGTAACGCTTTGATGCACCTTGGCTCTCTCGTCTGCAGCCTGTCTGCAACCATAAAACTGCCGGGAAATGGGAAAAGTGACCCTCTGCAAGCAAGCAGAAGTCGTTTCTGTGAGAAAGACGGAGAGAGAGAGGCTCAAAGTTGGGCTTCCCTTTTCTATGGAAACTGACTTCGGCGAACGCGCTGTCAAAAGTTTTGATCTCAAACTCGACACCACTTCCAAGAGTTGAACCTTCTGCGCCTCTGCTATTAATGATCAAAATACATATATCTAGAGCAAAAATTTGCCCAGCTTATTTTACTTATTCTTAATTGTTGGTTTGGAAAGTTTGGTCCTTTGGTTTGAAAAAAAAATTGTTTTTAAGTAGATTCTTGGTTTAAATTTTGTTCATATTTTCTGTCAAGGTAAAAAGTAGATTTAAAAAAGGAGCAAACTAGAAGAGGTGTTTACTTTTTAATTTTCAAGACCGTAAAAAAAATTAAGTGAAGAAATTTACTCCGGCCCAATAAATCGATAATGTTTTTGAAGGGATCTAGAATTATTGTCTTGAAATATCATTTTATTAAAATATCCTATTTTAAGTATTTTTGCTCAAGAATAAAGGTCAATTTTAATATATCAATAAGCAAAACAAATTTAACATAAGCCACAATTTAAAATTGATAAATTTAAAAATATCAAAAAAGTATCTTTATAACAGAAGCTAGGCCATCGAAACTTGATTTTCAATTAGAATATTGCTCCTGGAAAAATAATTTTTTATTAATTGCTAATACTTTTAATGAAGAGATCGGGCTTTCCATGATCGTCTACTCGAGTGTCAATTTCTTGAAACAAAAATACTTCTTAATGTGGAATTTTGCAGGTTGTTGTTTCTTTATCTACAACCTGATCAATCTCAGTAAAAAACATTTCAAAGTTTTGTTTGCTTTTCTTCCTTATATGTTGAGTAGATGAAATTTCCCATCAGATGCCAGTCGCAAGCGTCGTTCTCGGCGGTGGAACACGCAATTTTTCTCCATCAGCTCCGTCCCGACAGAGAAAGTCATTAATAATTTTTATATTGCAAGCTGCTCAATACACACGGCGCGGGTATAAAAGTCGCGCGCGCCTCGCGTTTTTTCCCACTTTGAATTATTAATCAAGCTGCTTATGCGGGCACAAGAAAGTCGCGTATGACGATTTCTCACAAAATTAAGGGCGACCGCATGAAATATGAAGTGGTGCACCCTTTGAGTGCGCGCGGCTCGAGACTGTTGTTTTATGCAAATGCGCCCGAATATTAACACAAATGCAAATGGCGCACGGCCATTTCGGTGCGTGGCCCCCTCGGATTTAAAGCAGCTTGTTCCTTTTCTCTCTCCTGCCAAAGAGCGATACAGAGCATAAAAACAGCAGAATAAAGAAGTTATGTTTTGAGAATCGCTGCGAAAATTTCCCTTCCTGTTGGCAAAACAAGCCGTTTTCCTATGTTTTGCTTCAAGAATAAAACGGAATTCCTGGAGAGGCTGCGGGTCCACGCACACTCACGATGCATCGTCGTCAAATTTGTTTTTCTCCTGCCATTCCTCTCTCGTTTACATTTTATGCGGCAGAGTGAATGAGGCTCGTTTGACGGCAAACATATTGGACCCGAAAACACCTGCCAAATGTGAGAGGAACAGATTTTCTGCAGATCGTAAAACCATCCTGTAAAGTAAGCTTGATCTTGTTTCATATTTTTGAGGAACTTTAAATGTATGAAATGGTTATTGATTAAAAAAGAAAATTAATACTTATTTATAAATTTTGAATAAAATAGTAAAGGGAAAAAAATAATCATTTTGTAGTAGAATTTCACGATCGTGGGTTGATTTAAATTTAAATTCGGCCTTTCCTAGATAGGTTTTGTGAGTTGTTTATTGTTTAAGAAAACAATATCCTGCTCTACATGTTTCGGCTGCGGGCTGCAGCTATAATTCAGTATTCTCTCGAAGTAAATAAATAAAACTGGAGTTCGCATGCTTATTCTCCATATATTAATCGTTTTACCTCAAGCTTTTAACTAATTTCATATTTTTTTGTTCAGTTATAATTTCTCTCTCCTACTTTTTTTCAACTAATTATACGTCAAAATGAGAAGAATAATTACACCAGTGTATTCAAATAGCAGGAAGTGAAAGAATTTTTCCAACTTTTTATGACCAATCTCGTTTAACTTATGGCCACAGCGAGATTAACCAAGTCCGCGATAATATCATAAAGCGAGCACCAAAACGCGACTGGCCGTTTGGCTGCCGTTGCAGCGCGGTAGAAAAATTGCAGTGCAGTTGCGAGTGCCATTAGACCGGGCCTAATATCGTCCCGGCAACGGTGGTCGTGCAGGGGCAGAGGCTTTAATAATAATAGATGCCACTATCGCGGGACATTATCAGTGATGAAGCGCTGCCATTATTTCACCCGGCGGGGACATTGGGTTTTCATAAATCAGCACATCGCAGGCCGGGCTGGCGCGTGGGCTCGCAAGGTAAACGCGCCAAAATGATTAATTTTGGAGGGTCCAGGTGATTTTCGCCCGATTCGTTCAAAAGCACCGGGTCGAATAAATGATTTTCAGAACCTACGTGCTAATTTGTTTTCCGCCAGAGATGTAATTATCTAGTTAATGCATGGCAATTTGCAAATAAAGATCGATGAGCGATTAATAAAAATCCTTTTAAAATGCAGATTTTTTGTGAATTAATTTATTGTTGAATATTCTAATCTGATTTTATTTTTTTAATAAACTAACTTAAAAAAGTATAAAATCTACAAATTTGATTGAAGTTAACTTTTTTTTATTAAATGGCAATTAATTAAAAATCATGAATTATATCGTCTTTTGTAAAAAAAACGTCCAATCAAAATAAAAGGGAAATCGCCAAATTTGATTAAATCTCAAAAACATGAAGCCTGCCTCGGCTGTGAAATTTTTCCACAAAAAGATTAAAAATGTTATATTTTACGTACGAGAAGTGCACAATTTGGGGAGCCGCAAGCACAAATCAAATTAATGCGGGAAGCGTCGGGTTATCCGTGTACGGCCCCCGTTTTACGTTTTAACACAAAAGGCACGTATATTAAAATAAAAAGTAATTTCAAAAGCACTCCAATTCGTAATTAGAGCACCATCCGCCTCCGAGCGCGCAAACAAAGGCGAGTGGGAAAAGCAGCACCGGCGAAAATGTGCGCATTATATTCCGCGATGTTTTCGTTCCGGCGAATTAAAGCGGGAAAGCAGGGGACTGATATCTTATGCGAGTGCTGCGTGAAAGCGAGACTTGTGCATCGACATTTTTCAGCAATTATTTTTTAATGAGAAAAAATGCGAGGGGTCTCTCTAGGTGCGCTGACATCAGAGGAGGCACCTTTTGGAACTTGAAACATCCACCGGCTAAAGAGCACGCTTGAAATTTTGCGGCGGCATTGAATGAATGACACGCCGCACAACGAGGGCGGTGCCACGCCGATCAATATTCCGCCAACTACATGCACTATGCCCCATGTACACCCTTCAAAAACGAGTGTGTATGTAAAGTGCAAACGTACATGATGCGAGGCGTGTCCCTGCAACCGCAGCCCCTGTAAAAATTATGGGCTGCTGCTGCTCCAGTACATTTGAAAATATTCCAAAATAACTTTTTAAACATAATCTGAGATAATAATTTTTAAAATTCCATAAAAATTACATTAAACCAATTTAAATGCGTCTTCTATTAAAAAAAATTATTTCTATTCAAGTCGCAGAGTTAAAATAGTGGAAATTCTTAATTTTTTTGCTATACATTAAGGAAGTGTTTTAATTGAATAAAATTAATATAAATTATGATAAATGTGATAAATAAAGTATAGCAAAAAGTACAGGTGGTCTGCACTATGAACCTAATTTTCGCATTTAAATGGCAGGGAAGAAACTCAATTTGCCAT